GAGTTTAGAGAATGGAAAAACCAATTATATAATGAAGGGAAAAGATCCCTGAGAAAGGAGGAAATCCAGAGATGGCAAAAACAAAATACATAATTATATATTTTTGTAGTAGTTCACATGCAAATGAGGTTTTGTTCATGAAATATTTTCCTATTCCAATGTTTTCAAGTGTTCTATCTAACCTCTCTTCTAACTGGTTTAGTGTTTCTGTTTTAATATTTAGATCTTTAATCCATTTCAATTTTAGTTTAGTGCATGGTGAGAGATACAGGTCTAGTTTTAACCTTTTGTAAGTTGAAACTCAGCTTTTACAGCAACATTTATTAAAGATACTGTCTTTCCTCCAGTAAGAAGGAAAGATGATTCCAAGGTGCAGTGGCTGAGTGTGTCTGGAGTTGTTTCCACATCTTCTAATCTGTTCCACTGGTCCTCGGGTCTGTTTCTTTGCCAGTACCATATTGATTTTATCATAGTAGCTTTGTAGTATAGTTTCAAGTTGAGGGTTGTGATACTCCCTACCTTGTCTTTATTTCCTAGAATTGCTTTTGCTATTTTAGGTCTCTTCTTGTTCCAAATGAAGTTTTGGACTGTTTTCTCAAGGTCTTTGAAGTATGCTGCTGGAATTTTGATTATGATTTTGTTTCCTTTATCTTATAGAGTTTAATTATTCTGTGAATATATGTTCTATCTCCTTGGCAAATTTAAGTTCTCACTCACACTTTGTTCTCCTTTGAAAATCATATAATGCATTCCACCTGTCCTTGTCTTTGGTGGAATTCAAATTTGGATAGATATACACTTGTTCAATCTATTTAATAACAGAACATCACTGATCACTAATGTGATGTTAGTGCACATTTCCCATCTCTATGATTTAGAAATACTAAAATATAGTATATATATATATATGATATATTATATATATATATTAATGTTTTAGCTATGTATTGCATAAAACCATTCTAGGCAAAATATCTGGTGTGTAAACACGTTTTTATTTTTTGTCTTGTTTTCTGTATCCTCTAATATACTACAAATATGATTTTATCATTTTCGTAAATATAAATCCTCATATTTATGATTGACCATTTCAGCACAAGGAAAAGCTCATAACTCCAGATTTGACACCTAACTTTCTTGTGCTTAGTTAGCAGATTTTCACTTCAAATTTTCTGACCCATAGTTTGCAATGCACTTACTTTCGCTGCCTGGGGGAAATTCAGTTTTTTTTCTCAGTTTTCATTGTGATTCAATTATGGGAAATGCAAATTGAAAATTTCAGACAGAAAATTTCAGGTCTGTAAACAGACCTTTGCTGCTTTTTATCTGTAAATGGAGACCATACATAGTTTATAAGAATTTTGCAAAAAATCACTTCAACTTTGCATAGATAGAAAATGTTGATCTCACGTATATATATATATATATATATATATATATAATTGTGAATGTTTTTAATACCCACTTACTGTACTCTCAATTTGATATCTATGTATACTGAATATATTCATTTGACATTCTTAAGTGATCTTCCTTAACACCAAGGTGGAAGACCACTGCCTTAGAATATTTCCTGAATTTAGAAAAAAATCTCCTTAGTGCTAGCTTACTGTCAAAAATATCTACTATGTTAAAACATCTATATTTAATAATGCTTCCCTCAGAATTGATGCTTTACACAGATTTTAATTTTGTTCAAATTTGATACATTATACAAACTTGATACTTCATACAAATTTAAATAATTATTTACTAAACTCTAGTTTTTGATATCTTTATGTAATTCTATTCTTTTGCACACATCTCTAAAGGCAACACACATCAAGGACTGGGTGAGTAGATCTGACTGCTGATGTCCTCATATCAGTAAAGACTTACGGAACCTTAAACAGATTCTCAAAAATCTTACCTCAAATATACTTAATATTTCTTTAGTACCCATAAAAATATTTTCTTAAAAACATACACAAAATTAACTAATGTTCTTCTAAGTACTCTACAACATACCTATTGCCCTGGAATATACTAGAGTGTATGTACATGTAGATTCAAGTCTCTCTGGGAAGTACTTATGGCTATTTCATGTGCTTTCACTGTTGCTCAGCTTTATTAGATAGAAGGACATGATATAATTTGTTACTTTATTATGATGATGGTATCATTTCAGTGTTCTTGTGCCTCTCTTCACATCAGGCAAGTGAAAATTACCAGACACTATGTGAGTGGAGGTTGTTTAACTCCAACATATGATGTATACTCAATATTACTATTACTTATGTTTTCCCAATAAAAAATCAGTCCTATCACATACATCAGATTACTCTTAAGGTGTAGTTTCAAGAATTTCCCTGAGGTATGCCTAGTACTAATTCTTGTATCACTACTGATCAAGACATTTCAGCTTGCATTAGAGGAGACTGCAAAGTGGGATGAGAGTTGGGAAATGAATCTGTAAGACATGTGGTATTTACCTGCTAATAAATATTCAATGTATGTAAATTTATTCAATTCTTTGTGCTCTTTCCACCAAGGATGGTGGAAATATGGAAGCTATCACCCATTTCCACAACCTATGCATAAATAAAGGAAGTTGGGATCTCAAATGTTTAATTACTGTGGGTTTTCTTTTAAAATAAAGCACTATACACAATTAAAAATTTTATTGTTAAGGGGCACTGGACCCTGTGATGATGCAAAATACTAATATATTTCTCAGCCTCACTGACAATATTATATTCTTTTCTTTATGTATATAATTTTTATATCCATAAAAATTTTCACATGATCTCTGAAAAGCTGTGACTTATTACTAGCCAGAAAAGTCTACTTATTATTTAGTGAAGATTCTGGTTGTTAATTACTCCTGTGTGTCAGGATAAAGATAAAAACTAGGGTGTCAAAAATGAATTTTCTCTAAAACACATGTATATATTTACAGAAAGAAAACACTAATTGTCCCATTATGTAAAAAATAAAATGATAACTTGATATACCAGAATATTTTATTTGAATCTTGTGAAATTAAACCTTTTATCATTTGTTCTACTGATGACATGTACTTTGAATCTCAGCCTTATATATTCATTACCTATTAAAAATTGGAGAAGTGTCCATTATATGTTTAATGCATGTTTGATATAGTAATATAAACTAGAAATCAACTCATATATCAAAGATAAAAACAAACTGCCACACTTTATGTATTAGTAAGCAGTGGGGAAAAGATTCCAAATTAAATTCTCAAGCTCTGTGTGGGATCCACACATCATTTAGATTCTTAACCATTATAAAGTTTCCAGCAAAGGATGTTATGTCTACACTGTAGAAAATTAGACTCTTTTCAGTTTTCATAGTTGAGGAGAAATCTAACCTGAGTTGCTTTATCCTATAGAAGTTGAGAAGGTTAATTTATAAGAGAAGAACAGGATGTGGACAGCTCCAAGGAAAGCATAAAGTGGAGGTCAGGCATGAGGTCAAAACTAATCATTGTAGAACTTCTCAATCTTTAATCTTTACTTCCTAAATTAGATATCCTTCCTAAAGTGAATGCAGCAGTTTTCCTGCCTCTACCCTCAGTGATCTACTTGGGATACCTAAGTGTAGAGTACAGTAAGAAATGTGTCCTTCCTGGAGTGACTGGAAAAGAAATGGGTGCATGGATTTTCAAAGGAAATTTGTGCCATGAATTGCATGGTAAAATGCCCTGTTTGTCTTATCAGCCCAATGTAAATATTTATTCACTATTTTTTACCCAACAACTTGTAGTTAATTATACAAAAGTGCAGTGCTCTTATTTCCTTTTAAATAATAATACAGGAGGTTATACTCAGAAATATTGTACACATAAAGTGAAACTAATTGCATAGAATGCATAACTTATATGCTACCATTAAGGAAATCTTCAGTTATTGGTTCATGATGTTATGGTTATTTTCACCTTCCCCATTGTCCTCATCTCTACCATAATTCTTTTGGGATGCTGAGGAAATTGTTTACTGAATCTCATTGTATGCTATCATAGTTTAGATGTCTATGGGAAACAGGACCAGGGTGGGAGGAAGGGAAAACTTTGACTGAGATTTTGGGTTCCCCATAGTAATCAAGTTCATACATTTTCCAGTCCTCCTCTGACACTGTGCACAATTTTATCATCCCATCCCACTGTCCAAACATTCACCTATGTCTTCATGAGGGGAAGTAATGTTTCCAACATTCCCATCCTCCATCCATTACTTTCTGAGTTAGGCTGTGTGTTTACTATGGGTTGTTCAAATATATTCCACACATACCATTTCCCTGAGGACCAGAAAAAAAATCAAGGACAGCCTAGGGAATATGGACAATGTCAAATAGTAGATTCTTGTTTTACATGAACATGAAAAAGGAGATACAGATATCTGAAGATGTCAGACAAACAAACACTAGAAGAATTGACTGGTTATGTCATATCATGAAAACTTGAAATCTCAGTGCACAAAACAGCTTATAATTATCCATATTGGTCCATATTTTCTAACTTGTAATATTTGAAATTTATTGGAAGTTAAAACAATGAATGTCACAAAAATTTTGGGTTCTTCCTTTACACAGAAGAAGTCTTAAGAATATTATTATCTTTGTTATGTTTTTTTCTTTTATACTAAGTCCTCAACTTTTTATTTTCATTGTTCATTGTGGAAAGATATACTTAACTAAAAGTACCATTTTAAGCAGTTTTAAGTGCAGATTTTGGTTACATACATTGTAATGCTTTTTGTGCAACCATCACTCTTATCCATCTGCAGAATTTTTTCTCTTTCCCAACTGACATTTACAACTGTATGAAGAACACTAAATGCTATGCCTCAAAATCCCTGGATTCTTCAATGAAGCATCATATAAAGTTAAAGAATTTAAACTTCAGAAACAATAAAAGCAAGGAGGAAGTATTTATAGATAAGTTTTGGATTTTATTTTTTGCCACATTTTCTAAAACACATTCCAAATAAATAGCAAAGTGATTATATTTTCCAAAGGTGGAGTCTTTTCAGGGTGTTAAGAATCTGCCTGTTCCTCAGGCTGTAGATGAATGGATTCAGCATAGGGGTGACCAGAGTGTACATCAGTGAGGCCACCATTACCTTGCTTGGAGTATATGATCCACTTGAACCAAGATATGTTCCAAGGCTTGTTCCATAAAATAAGCAAACAACTAACAGGTGAGAACCACAGGTAGAAAAAGCTTTGTACCTCCCCCTAGATGATGGGATTTTCAGAAGTGTAGAAACAATTTTATAATAGGAGAAAATGATCCCTGACATGGGAAAACAACCAAATAGGATGCCAACCATATATGTGACTATGTTTTTCATTAAGGTATCAGAACATGAAAGGTCAAGGAATTGAGAAGGTTCACAAAAGAAAATAGCAATTTCCACATCTTTGAAACAAGTAACTTGTAAGCAAACTAAAGTGTGCATCTGGGAATCAAAAAGGCTAATAAAGACTGACAGCAAAAGTAATAAGACACAGCGGTGAGGGTTCATAATCACTGCATAATGCAGGGGGTGGCAAATGGCCACAAAACGATCATAGGCCATCACAGTCAGAAGCATGTCATCCACACATGCGAAAAGGATATAAAGAGAAATCTGTGTCAGACAGCCCACATAGGAAATGATCCTGCTGTAAGTTGAGAGGTCCACAATCATCTTTGGAACCGTGGTGGAGGTGAAACAGATGTCAGCCAAGGACAGGTTGGAGAGGAAGAAGTACATGGGGGTGTGGAGGTGGCTGTCAGAGCTGATGGCCAGGATGATGAGCAGGTTCCCGAGAACTGTGACCAGGTACATGGACAGAAACATTCCAAAGAGGATGGGCTGCATGTCTGGATCCTCTGAGAAGCTCATGAGGTAGAACTCTGAGACATGTGTGAGATTACGTCTTTCCATGTTGCTTGAGCACATTTAAATAAATTTCTTTGAAAAAAATGAAACAAAAATATCACACAAAACTGTGCATATATTCTGAGTTCAAGTATTCATAAGCTAGGAATTCCTACCAGAGATCCACAACTTTCAGCATCATTGCTCTATTGTGAGAAATTCCACCATCAAGGACTCACTGTTGGGTAGTTTGTTTTCAACCTCTTCTGTAACTCTTATTTTACTCATACTCTACTGCACAGTATAAGCAGACCAAGGACATAGAGTTCTGAAGTCCTTGATCACAATAAAATGCAGGAAAGTTTTTCCAAAGAGAATAGAGGATAGTTAACCCACCAACCTTTAAGAAAATATGATTCTATTGGAAGAAAATTGAAAAGCATTGAAATAATCCATATTTTATAGTCATAAAATGCTACATATTTCCTTGATTAGTGTGTCTTCAAATATTATAAAATCTAAGACTACATTATCTGAGAATTAAACTAAAGTTAATACCCTTCAATCAGAACACTTTGTTTTGAGCCACTGTACAAAAATAATGAATTTTTTATTTTTCTTGTGTTTTTTCTGATTTCATCTTCCAAGGATGTAAGGGATTACCCAACTTTTGTACACAAATTGTGCCTAAATTTTGTTTGTGTATAAATTATTCAATATGAAACTTTTATTCTTGTCTTTTTTGACTCAAATTTATATATAACAGGTTCTGACATATGCACATAAATTTTGGACATAATTATCACAAATGTAGATTAATGTACACTGCATATGTCAATAAAAATAATACATGATAACAAGCAACTTTGCCTTTTAAATTTTTCTACAGTTGCATTTAATCATACTATATCTGTGAAATATGTGCTATATAAGAGACTTCCTTCTTGATTCTGTAGTTTACCATAGCTTGATAATATGCATGAAGGCTATTCTGATCATAAACCCTCATGGATCTAGTTGATAACATTGGAAATGATGAAACTCTTAAGGCTCTGGTTAACTTCCAGCCTTCCTAACAGATTTTCACATCAATCTTTCCTAATATGGAAGTTACATTTTTCTTATTTCAGCTATGAGATGGAAACTGGGATCTATATTTTCATCTGGCCATTCTGTGATTTAATTGGGAAAAAGCCCAAAATAGTACACAAAATAATGTAAGCACACCTTAAAACACCACTGCAATAGAAAAAGTTGCATGAAATCTTGTAAAGACACAAATAATGTACTCTCCCTTGTCTGTAATATTGGGATGAGAATTAGCTACTTTATGTCAATGCTGTAAGAAAACATTTTGAGAATCATTTAATTTGCATAACTGTTGATTCTAATTTAGGCATATATTTATCTGTAGATATTGTTATATATCCAAATACTCTAGGCTTAGCCTAATATATTAATCAGAATATGTATATTTCTAATTTTTGAGTCCCTTTCTTAAATGAAAGCTGAGAACCACTGTCTGAGGATATTTGCTGGCATTTAGAAAATCTCCCATTCATATTTTCTCTATAGATATTAATGTATAAATACTTTATTTTATTTATATCCTCATTAATATTCTTTACTTACCTGAACAAATACCTACAATTTTGAGAACTTTCTATAATTTCTCTTGCTCTCCTGTTCTCAAAGGAATCTGTTGTCATGAATTTTATGGGTAGATTTTCATTTCAGCGTTTCCAGGTCAATACTAATTTATGAATCCATAAGCAATTTTCTTAAAAATTTACCTAAAAGGAACCTAAAACTCATCTAAATAGTGTGTTACAGAACATATATTGCCTCCCAAATAGACTAGGTTAAATCCACATGTAGTGGTTTTAGGTCTTCTTCAACCAATTCACAGCTTCATTAGAGAGGAAGGGGATTTAGGGAGGGAGAGAGAGGCCTCATTTACCTTGAAAGTTAATTATTATAATAATATTTTCAAAATCATTGTGCTTCCTTCCCTGTCACTCATGTTAAAAATTGTTATATATCACAGTGATATTTTTATTTCCAACAAATAATGCTCATAAAATTTCAATTATTTTTTGCAAAATAGGTGACTCATTTTTACCTACAGCCTCTTATTCATCAGATACACCTTCAAATTATGCCTGCCATCTTTCCAGTAATGATCTCTTTATGATAACGCACAAAGAAATTTCATCATCACATGAGGAATAACGTTTCCATCTTCCTTCAGTTGTGGAGCCTGTGCCAAGGAATGGCACTGAAGAAATGATCACATTCGTTCTGTGTCACTGACCTGTTACTGAGGGCCAACTGTGTGTGAATCTCTCTTCCTCTCTGTGCTTGTAATGCTTGAGGAAAATAAGGAGAATAGCATTCATCCACATGGGGGGCAACTAACACAACATAAAACTTAACTATTTAGTAATTGTGAAATTTCTTAGTCTTGGTTCCATTAATTTCTGATGTGACCTTTACAATTTCCTCCCTTGTATGAGCCTTAGGACTTGATTTGTTCATTTCCTAGAAGTTGGAGGTTCAACATTAGGTCGTATTTTTAGCTCACTCTGTTTTCCTGATGTGAGAATTCACTGCTATAAATCTTCCTTACAGAGTTGCTTTCACTGCTTCCCATAAGGAATATTTTCTTTTTAAAATAAAGATGTACATCATTAAGCAATTATTAAGATTAGTAAGTGTAGTAAACTGCATTCCAATGGCATTGGAGCCTGAAATGATGTGAAGATTTAATCTGCCTGAACTACAGTCATAGTCACCAGCTCCTTTTTCTTTGTACTTTTTAAAAAACTACATGAATATCTTTGTTGCATTCTATTTTTAAGTAACTAATAGAGATACCATTAAGTGGCTCATAGGGTCTATGTGTCCATGACACAGAGCTAAAACAAAAGCTATTCTTTCTTGTCTTTACACCTATGGGGCATTTATGAAAGGAATGGAGCTGCAGACAGTAAGGTACTAAGCATCTTCACGTCATTGTCACTGAGGACAATGATTGTGACTCAAAGAAGGTTTCAGTCAATTTTAAACACAGGTTTTGATTTTTTATGTCTCCTCTCTGCTAAACAAGCTGTAGGTCATGAAGTCAGCTGTAAAGGAAATATATCATTCCTCTCCAAACATATGCATATAATTACAAAATCTCAAACAAAATGTCCTGCAACAGAAATACAAAAGGAGTAACTATAAGACACAGGAGATAACTGGTAAAATATAATTATCACTGATAATAATGAGACTTAAATTTTAATTGGCTCTAATTTTATACCCATTAACCCTAAATAGAGCACTCCTTATCTGCATAATCCTTAGTGCAGTTGCCTCAAGTAAAATTTAGCACTAATGACAATGCTCTCTTAGAGACATTAAAACCCCTTCCTGCATCAGGGAAATGATAAGTGCAGCTAAAATGATTAAAAATAAATTGCCAGATGCTGTCTGATATACTGAAATTTTTCACAGTTTTCAACCCATAGAAAGATTTATGCAGAGATTCAGAGTTGATAATCATAGGAACTTTAGAGACACATTTGCAACTCTCTCATTTCCTTGAGAAAAATGAAATCAAGACATGACTTTTCAACATTTGAGTTGGTGAGAAATAAGTGCAAGCATGGAGAAGAATGCAGAAAGCTCAAAAATAGCTATCTTACAGTGGTGTCAGCAGAGAAATCTGTGCTGAATGTTCAAGGGAGTGCTCTCTCAGATCTTTGCCTGTAAACCACATCTATATTTGGTGAACACACCTGAGACCATTCACTGTTCTGGTCTGTGAGCTTTCAGAAAACTCCAACTGTAAGGGCACAATGAGCAAGGGGCCTCTCCTGAAGTGACAGAGAATAAAGTGTCTGCTTGTGCTAAGAGGCAACCTAACAATTACCCTGTGTCTGTAATCAGACAACCCAATTCCACCAAGTCATTTTTCTGTATAACAACTTAATTCAGGTTCTATTAAAATGACACACTCTTCCATTTTATTACAAGCAATGAGAGTGTAAGCAAATATAAATCCAGAAAGACAGAGAACATGAAATAAACCAGACACATAGACGAAATTGCTCAGTGCCTGGAAGATAGGAAGCCCTCAAATCCAGTTCATGATGTTATGGTTACTGTTTTCCTCTATATCCTGATCATCACATTTATAATCGTTTTAGAACATATAGGACAAACTGAAGAAGGGCATATTATCTGCTGTTATGGGTAAGATATCAATAGAAGTAGAAACAGGGTGTAGAGAAAGCAAAATTGAAATGATAATTATTATTTCCCCACTACAAAAAAGATCATAAAATTTTTATTCCTTAAAACATAAAATTTCAATTCCTTATTTGTATCCTCACCTCTGACCATGAAAAATGTCATGCTTCACCTCCAGGATAAGGAAATAAAAATTTTTGGTATCTTCCTCATATAAATGAGGACTCTTTGCACTTAGTGGGTAATGCTGTTTCTCTGCTGGGTCACAGTCAAGGAGAGCAGATCCAAAGACCTTCTTATGTTTGCTGTCCAATAAAGGCTCAGTCTCTGTCTTCAGGATGTAAATTAATACAAAGACACATAAGAGCTTCATAATAAAGACAACAATAGGGTTTGACACACAGGAATGGAGCTGGACACAAGACTGGAGTCAATGAAGGTCACAATGCTAATTATTAACTACTCTGTGACCTTGGAGCCTCAATGCACAGAGCTCATAATTAGCCAAATTGGTCCATGGGATCCCAATCTCTGAAGACTTCCCAAATTTAATGAAAGAAGGAGACAAAAGGAATATAAATGTCTAAAATATACTTTAGGTTCTTCATCTACTTAGAGAAAGGTAGTTTGTCCTAATCTCTTCTGCCATTTGTATACACTTTTAAAATGATGGGCCTTTATTTCATTTTTGAAGTAAAATACATATAACAAAATTACACTTTTATCCATGATCTGTACCCATTATTTTAAAATTAATTTTATTGTTACATTTTAGGTATAAAATATAATTACATTCATCATTGGAAATTTGTACATATATGTAAGCT